CACAGGCCACGCACGAGGGAACACATGTGTACAACAAAACCATCCCCCGTGCGTGCTGTCTGGCTGTCTCTGTCTCTCCATCCATCCATCCATCCGTCCACTCACTCTCCCACTCACTAAGGTCCATCCATCCATCATCCATCTACCAGCTGACGTGTGCATTTCCTACCACCTCACCCCACCTCACCCCACCTCATCTAATTCATTTGCCGTCGCCGGCCGACTGCACTCAGTCGAAAATTCGCGTATGTATCTCTCTATATGCAGCCTTCCTTGCAAGCCAGACAGACAGCCATGTTGGGGTGTGTGTGTGTGTGTGTGTAAGGTACACCTTCATTCCTTCGTTCTGTACACCGAGCAAACAAAGGGCATAGGTGGGTGGACGGCCCGGATGGTTGGATGGACAATAGATATTTATTTCGCGGGCGGGGCGGCAAGCAACATTGCTATACATACACACACATGCATACAGCGGCGTCCTTAGGCACACGTGCATCGGTGCACCCATGCCCACGGCCGCCCGCCGTTTTGTATGCATCTTTGTACACACACACTTCGCCAGCTGGCTATGTACACACATACACACATACATATCTCTCAGGTCAGTCAGAACGTCACATCAAATATGATGAGGACATCGATCACAGGGCCGTCAGCCGTCTCCCCTCATCCTCATTGTCATCGGGAATGAAGTCGGCGTCGGGCGGGGGCGTGCTGGCGGCCAGCCACTCGGCGCTGCTGACGGTGGCTCGGTCGTTGCACAAGTAGTACTCGCCGATATTGTGCTCCGTCAGGGTGCGCATGGTGCGGTTGCTCTCCATCGTCAGCCCCTCACCCACGTGCCACACGCCGCCCTTTTTGCCCGACCAGGCCTGGTCGTCACACGGGTCGGTCGGCCAGTCGAAGGGCAGCCTGCCGACCACTGGCACCTCCCCAAAGAGCACGTCGGCAATGCCCCCGCCCTCGGTGCCCGGCAGCCAGGCCACCACAAAGCCCTCCGACAGATTGATGATGCGGTTGGCGTACAGCGGCCGGCCGGTGAACATGACAGTGACGATGGGCGTGTCCGGGAAGCGCGCACGTGTGGTCTCGAGCACCTGCATGTCGTACCAGGCGTCGCCATCCTCTTCCAGCCTGATAACGCCCCCTGCCCTCGCGAAGGAGACCGTCTGGTTCATGAAGATGTCGCCCTTCTCTTCGGAGTAGGGGTTCTCCGAGACGACCACAATGACGGCGTCATAGCCATCAGCAACGCCCTCCGTGAGGTTGAACGAGTAATCCACCGCTATGCCCTTCTGCTGGATGCCCCCGAAGAGCGTCGTGGCGTTGCCGAACATCTCGTTGCCATTGTTCTTGTCCCCCAGCCAGTCGACCGACCAGCCGCCGCATTGCAGCGCGACAGCATCGCCGCCCCGCCCGACCACGAGAATCTTCTGGTCGGTCTTCAAAGGCAGCACGTTGCCATTGTTCTTGAGCAGCACGATCGACTTCTGCACGGCCTCACGCGCAACGTCGCGGTGCAAGTTCGAACCGATATAGTGACCTGTCCATGCAGAGAGACAGATGATGGATGGAGTGTGGCAAAAGAGACTGGTCTCACCTTCTGCTTCGAGTGCGCTCCCGCGTTGCCATGGTGTCGGCCGTGGTCCGTTTGGTGTGGCGATGGACGAGATGTAGCCCATCCGTGCCTTCACCCGGATGATGCGTGTGGCGGCGTCGTTGATGCGCTCTTCGGGGATGATTCCGGCATTCACTTGGTCGATGATGTTGGTCATGAAGCCCTTCCAGTCATCGCCCCACGCCATCATATACACGTCGATACCTGCACCCATCAGAGCCATCACAACACAACACGCGTACTAATGAAATGAAGTTGATGTGTGTGTGTGTGTGTGGGTGGGTGGGGGTCGATTGGGGGAGGGTGGTTTATGGCAAACACACCGGCGTTGACGGCGTGTGGGCAGGTCCATCTGTCGCAGTTTTTGACGTGCTGGTGGCCGACGTAGTCGCTGATGACGATGCCGTCGAAGCCCAGGGTGTCTTTGAGGACCGTCTGGATCAGGTGCTTGTGCCCGTGCATCTTCAGACCATTGTATGACGAAAAACTCACCTGCACATCCACACAGCCGCACAAACAAAACACCAGATAGGTAGGTATCCATCCACACACCCACACACCACACCCTCCCAGCCATGCCATGCCCTCACACCGACCGCACCATGATGGTGGCGACACCGGCCTCAATGGCGTCAAAGTAGGGGATGGCATGCTCGAGCATCAGCTGCTTCTCGCCCATGTACACATCTCCCGCATCGATGCCCTCCTCTGTCGCACCGTCACCGATCCAGTGCTTGGCCGACGCCAACACGTGCCGTCCGTCGAGGTACTGCGCCCCGCCGTCCACATCGGGATCGCCTTGCAGGCCCTTGATCATGGCCGTACCCAGCCGCCGGACCATCTCGGGGTCGGACGAGTAGCCCTCGTACACGCGGCCCCACCTGAGATTCTTGGGCATGGCGATGCAGGGGGCGAATGCCCAGTCGATGCCCACCAATGTCAGCTGAGCCGCCGTCATCTCGCCGATCCTGTAGATATATGGGAGACCGTGGGAATGAATACGTGGTGTGTCCGTGCTGTGTGTCTTGCTCACTTCTTCATGAGCTCCGTGTCGTTGGCCGCCCCGAGGCCGATGTTGTGGGGGAAGAGAGCACCTTTGGGCTGGTTGTTGTGCCCGTGAATGGCGTCTAAGCAACAAACAAACCAACCGATGTGGCTGGCGTGTCTGTTGTGTCTGTCGTACTGCCCGCCCCGCCCCGCCCTGCTCCGTGCAGTGCAGTGACTGACCGATTCCCCATATGTAGGGTATCTTAACGCCCTGCTGCTCGACGGCCGAGTTGAGGATGCCCTCGGCCGTGTTGAGCCACTCGTACGCCTCGTGTGTACCGATGGTTGAACCTGACACACACAACCAAACAGGCGCACAGACAGACAGACAGAAGAGCCTTGTCCAAGCAGGCCGATTGACAGACAGACAAAAGCCTTCTCTCACCAGGGCCAGAAAGCAGTGAGCCGAGGCTGAATCCCCGCTCGTTGTGGATGGCCATGAGGTCGGTCTCTGGCGCGCCCACCTGCATCATCTGCGCCACCTTCTGCTCAAGCGTCATCCCGTCTACTATCCTGACAATTGGCCAAACAACACACACAAGCAGCAGCAGGACACACACGTGTGGTGCCTTAGATAAGCTGTCCCCTGTCTGTGTGCCCCGCCCAGCCCAGCACGCACCGTTTGATCTCGGCCTCCATTGCTGGGTCCTTTTTCGGCATCACATTGAGGTCTGTCGGCCACGGCGCGTTGAGCGTCCCGTTGGCGGTGCCGTCGGCCTCCTGCAGCAGCCTGGCGAGCAGCTCATACCTGCCGCGGGTCTGGGGCTGGTGTGCCGCTGTTGCTGCTGATAGTGACGCTGCGATAGTTGCTAGGAGAAGGAGGGAAGTTTGCCGTGCCATCTTCATCACCACACAAGTATAGACAAGGGCAACCGCCTCAAAATGGCCGTTGGAAGGGGTGGCAGCCGTTGAGGTTCTCTATCCCGGCCGCGGCCAATATTCCACGCGCGTCGCTTTCCTTCCCCCGTAGGCAGATGTGTGTGTAGCGGTAGGGCTTCCCCCTGTGAGTATACCGGAGGGACCTGGCTGACATACAAGACAGACAGACGAAGGGCAGGCAGACAGATGAGCCGCGGGTGCAGCCTGTCTGTCCATCCTGGTCGACCTACCTACTACCTGTCCGTGTGCGCGTGTGCGCCTTAGTCCCTGCGGACATCATATCGATTCCTTCGATGAATGTCTGTGTATCCGTCCGTCCGTCCATTTGTGTCGATCCTCTTGTACAGTACGTACGTACAGGAACGCACCCAAAAATCGTCCGTCACAGGTTAGGTTCCTTTTGTGTCCTTTCCCTGGCTGACACACTCACTCCCCAGAGATGCACTGGCATGGCATCAAATGCACTGCACTGCACCCACAGTGCTTCCCTCCTCTACAACTACATCCTCTCCTCGACAAGACAACAGACATACGGCAAAAATACCCTCAACGTGTGACAAGAAACTACCGAGTACTGCCTGCCCTGCCCTCAGGTCAGTCAGTCAGTCAGTCAGTCAATCGCATTCAGTGGAAGAAGATCGGCAGCCACTGCTTCTCCTGCGCCAGTGTTTGATCGTCACTGATCCAGCCCAGCTCATCCCTCAGCTGCTCCATGTGGGCCCGCTGGAACTGGTTCCCGTTGATGCACCCAGGAGTGAGGCAGAAGGGCGTCGGTGGGAGGGTCACTTGCTGCACCACACACACGCACACCCACACACGTTGACGCCGCACATGCCTGTCTGTCTTGTCTGTCTGTCCGCGTGAATGTGTGTGTTCCTCGTCTGCTCCCTCCCCAGCTTGACTCACCGAGATGCATCGGAAGAAAATGCGATCCCTGTCGGGCGGAAACATGAGCTCCACATCCTCCTGCACCCCAGGTATCCATGTGCTTCTCGTCGCGTACACATACCCCTTGTCCACATCTGTCTTGACCAGGGTGTAATCCTGGCTCTCCGCCAGGTGGCGGATGGTCCGCAGGATCTCCTTGTCGCGCCGGTCCAGCCCGCTGTACACAAAGGGTGAGAGGAAGTGGTTTGGGCTGCGGAAGCTCGTAGTCGACACGCAGTTTGACTCGATCGGGCAGTCGTGCAGAGTGGCGGTCTCGGTGAGGCCCAGATTGTATTTGGATCTCTGGGGAAACACGTCGAGCGGCTGCACATCTGTGCCGATAGGCGCCACCTTCACGTTGGCTGGCGGCTCGACTTGAGCAAGGGGCAGAGAGGGAGGGGGAGAAAAGACCGCCAGCAGAGGAAGGAGCCCCTTGGTGATGACGCCGAGGAGCGGCGGCAGAGGCACGTAAGCAGGGTCGGGCTGTGCATCCGTCGGACTCAACAGCGAAGGCGCATGCGGCGAGCACGAAGGCCGCCCTGAGGCTCGAAAGCTGTTGGCACGCTGGTTGAATTTCATTCCGCTGATACGAGATACCGGGCCGGTGCTCGACAGCTGCGATGGCAATTTGGTGCGTTACTCGCCAAAGATCTCACGAGGTGAGATCTGAGCTCGCAGTCGGAGCTCGCAGCCGAAAAAGGGGCTCCGAAACCGCTGCTGCTGGAACGGAACTGCTCGAGGTGGAGCTTCGCAGCGTTAAGTCGCGCGGCGGTTGAAAAATGGAGAGTCTGCGTCGTGAAGCGTTCGCAGTCCTCAGGCGGACCAGAATGCCGGTCCCGCCTCCTCCCTTGGCGCTGCCGAGGATGTCGAGGAGATGGTTCAGCCACCCGGGAGCATGGAACGACAAAGCAGAGAAAATGTAGGCGCACAGCACACAGCGAAAAGAGGTTGGCATAGCACCTGCCGATCTGTGTGTGTGTGTGTGTCTGTGCTGCAGAACAGTGCACTTTCTGCTTAAGGATGGCTCCAAGAAGACTGTTGAAGCGCCTATCGGCACGTCAGTGCTCGAAGTGGCGCACCACTATGACATCGACATTGAAGGTGCGCAGCGAACCACACAGGTGGCTGCTCAACTCACCCTCTCTGCATCTGTCTGTCTGTCTGTCTGTCTGTGTCAGGTGCGTGTGAGGCGTCGCTTGCGTGTTCCACCTGTCATGTCATACTGGAAGAGGAGTACTTCGACAAGCTGGAGGAGGCCACGGAGAGGGAAGAAGACCTCCTTGACATGGCACCGGGACTCGCCGAAACGTACGCCCACACTCACACAGACGCGCGAGAAGAGAATACGGTCGATTGGCGCATGTACTCATGGCAACTGCCTGTCTGCCTGTCTGTCTGCCTGTGTGTCAGGTCGCGGCTTGGCTGTCAGGTGATATGTGCGCCAGAGCTGGATGGCATGACCGTCAAGCTGCCGTCAGTCACCAGGAACTTCTACGTGGACGGCCATGTCCCCAAGCCGCACTGATTAACCGATCTGTACATCGAGATGGACTAAGGCACGTGCGCATTGGATTCATGGAGTACTGTACGAGATGGGATGGCGGCCCTTTTTCCGTGTGGTGTGTACATGAGTTTTTGACCACGGGCTGTCTTTCTGGAGCGAGCGTGCCATGTGCCGTGCATGTGATGCATGATTGACATGATTCGATTCGCTGGATGGCCGTCGGAAACCGACTGAGCCTCCACCAACGAGTAGTCAATATGGATGATGCAGGGAAAATCACTCTGGCATGAACGTGAACAGGCAGGCACCTTTCGGAGAGCCAACCATTTGGTCATGTGCATGGGGAAGAGAAGCCCAACATTGCGCAGTGTTTTGGTCGGCCGACCTCAGGCACCACCGTCGCCCCCCCGCCACGACTCACATCATTGACTTCCATCAGGACCGCCGGGGAATCCGTCGAGAATCGCGCAGTCAAGACGTAAACAAGATTGCGGCGCCTCCAAGACCTTCATCAACGGCACCGATCCCTCCCACACACACAAGCTTGATCCCCCGGCACCATCCCCTCCCCCCGCAGCCAACAAGAAGAAGCCGCCATCCAAGTCAGCAGCCAAGAAGGCCAACAGGCGTGCCTCAACCCCGCCCTCTCCTGCCCCCTCCAAACCAGTTGACAAGAAGACCAACAATGCACAGACGCAAAGAAGACGCCCAAGGAGGCTCGCTCAGCCAAGAAGGCGCCCCACACTTCCTGCCCTTACAAAAATGCCGGTCGCGTTGAGGAGTGGAGCGAGATGCACATGGAGTGGCGGTTAAAGGAGCAAATCTCTTTTCTATGCATGGAGAAGCTACCCGAAGACGCAGAGACACTACCGCCTTTTCTCAAGGGCGAGAGAAAGGAGGGTGGCGGCACTGAATGTGCTGCAGCCTTGATGGGGTGATGAAGAACGGCGGTATCGATTCGGCGGTGAACAGCATTCGGCCTCGAAGCAGCGAAGCCGACTTCAGCTTCTGCCTTGCCACGATGGCCCCCGAACAGACCCACGCAGCCCATTTCGTCCGCAACGTTGCCGGACATCACACATCACGTGGGTGCGCCAAAGGTGGGTGCGTATGTGTTGTCGGACATCCTCGAGGGCAAGCCCACGGCCAAGGGCAGCCCCTACCCGTCCACCTCATCCATCAGCACGGACGCCCCCCACATGCCCACGGGTGATATCGACGACATCGAAGTGCCCTTCAGCAAGGCCAAAACCAGCTCCTGGTTGAGCATCGTGTCCATCCAGAAGCTCATCATGTCGGTCATCGGCAGCTGCAAGATCGGCCCGGGTCCTGCCAAGATCGACGAGCACGAGATCATCCTCTGAGCCCACAAGTCGTTTCGCCCCGCCCCGCTACCTACCTACCCGCCCGCCACACACCGCACGTTGTCGAAGTCAGCCCTCGAAGCTACTGTCGCCCGTCTACTGCCAATCCGCCTGCCCCCAAGCCACCCACAATCGACTGAGACCTCGTCTGCAAGCGAAGGAGGAGCAACAACAGAGTGAAGAGGGGCAGTGAGCACCGTGCAGCCATGCCTGTGGGGCGCGTATGCGGCGGTGGCCAAGGCCCGAGAGTCCCCTCCTCCAAGACGTAACTATCTCGTATTTCTTGCGTAAGAGATAGAGGCATCTGTGGACTGAAGTGTTCATCAGATCATTTTGATGTGTCGCTTGATAAGAATGAGGCATGGTGGCGGCCGGGTGAATGGCGTGCAAAGTGAAGGTACGCATGAGCTAAATCATTTAATGGAGTTCGCCAAGCTTGAGCACGGGCGGCTCCAGCTATGCGATGAGTGAGACATTATATATTTCACCAAATGCGACTGGCCAATGGGTGGGTGTGTGTATTGCTGTATTCATGTAGGATGCCTCAGTCCTCGCGTCCGCAACTTTAGCTACACCTCCTCGAAGGAGGCAGAGCGGGAGCTTGAGACGTGCATCAAGGCAACGGGTGGCGCCATCATTCGCCAGCTGTCCCTTAAGGAGCTGAAGGAGCTCAAGGAGGTCGCCGGTCTCCCTCGCGTGCCGCCCAATGCCGCACCATCGGTGTACTTCGGCGATAGAGGCAAAGACGTCAACAATCCCATCGGCGTCGAGCTCACAAGTAGGCGGCGAGAAAGGGGAACGGGCCAGTGCATGCGGGTCATACTGTGGTGCGTTGCAATGGTTTGTATGCAGATCCCAGTGAGTGCACGCGTTGCTGGCGTGACGGCAGGTGCGGCAAGTGCGGCAAGGCCGACGGTGTGGGGCCTGGGCGATGTGTTCCCTTTGCCGGCAGCGGCAAGACTTTGTTTGGGAGCATGGCGCAGTACGAGCAGACTGTGGGAAAGAAGCTGCAGGAAATGGATGTAGAGGAGGGGCTGCCGATGGCTATCAATTTCGTTGACTCCGAGTGGCAGAAGATGACCAAACGCCTGCAGGAGAAGATCATCGCGGCAGAGCAGGAGCGGGGCTTTAGAAGGGCAGATGTCCTCAAGCTGAGCCAGCAATGTCTGCAGCTGTCGACCAGCGACCGACCGACAGTGTCTGAGGTGCGACATCGGCTAGCAGGCATTGAGGACCTTGTCACGCGACTGCCAGGACCGTGATGGAGGAGGGCGTCTTGTTTGCGAGTGGGGCGAGTGCCCGCCTGTTAATTTGAAGGGGCTGTCTGTCGCTGGGCCGCCCGGCAGGTGTATGACCGGTCGACCCGGGCAGGCTATCGTTGCCTACATTTTATATCATCGGCGTCGTTTGTTCTGAAGCAAGCGTATTGTCTGCCTACATGCGCTGCCGAGGCGTGAGGGGGGTTTGACTGGATGGAATGGGATGCAGAGTGGATGGTTTCGTCGTATCTCTCTCTTCGTGTGCTTGGGTCGGCGAGGGGGGTGAGTCAGTGTTTTTCTCCGTCTAGGGTCTGTCTGTCTGTTTATCACCCCCTGTCTCGTCTGTGTTGTGTATGAGTGTGATGAGACACTATCCTTTACACCCATCCTGACGTGACAGCTGCTGTTGTCGGGCAGCACAGTTCCTTTCAATCGACCTCAAGTATGCACCAATTTGTGCGTGTCGATAGTGTGACGAGGGTGTGTCTGATCTTCTTGTGGTAGGCCAGGGTGGAGTCTCATATCTCTATACCCCGTTGCAACATGACAAGCGGGCAGGGCAGCCGCACTCATACGCGCACAGACACGAGCCAGCGACGCGAGAGAGCCGGTGTGCAGGAGACTAATTGATGGAAGAGAGGGAGGGAACAGTGGGGCGGGAACAGTTGGAAGTGTCAGACGCAGCAGATTCACACGGAGAGACGGGGTAGCCGGTGCTGTATACACATTATCACATTATTCACACCACACCCAATTGTAGAGCCGAACAAACCATGCTCTCTGCTCTTTGCATTCGCAAGTATGACAAGATGTCTCACGTCTACACACATGTGCAATGCACACACATGCCAGGATGCCGGCCGTATCCATCTGCCTGTGTGTGTCTGCCTGTGCTGATGTTTTGGGCTGGCTGACTAACGACGTGTGTCTCTCGGGGTGTGTCTCTCTCGGGGTGACTGAACTTCGGCTGCTTTGATAGCATTCAAATGAGATTCCACCCCGGGTTGTGTTGTGGTGGGAATGGCTGATTCTCGTGCACTCTCAGCCTCTCCCTCTCGGTGCACTCCCTGCCTGTGCCAGCCAGACACACATAACGGCACATGGATGGTTGAATACAGCAGCGGTCACGGACCCAGAAATGAACAACAAATACAGACACAAACGTGTCTCGCCCGCCCACGATACACACAGACGGCTGGACGCACTCAACCCCCCCTCTGTCCACCTGAGTCAGCATCATTCCTTCTTGTGCCAAAACATGCTGGCCCGCTCCACCTCAACGCACCGCCGATACCTCTCTGCGAACTCACTCAGCCACCTCACCAAGGCGACGCTCTCCCGCGACACACCCCCACCCCCACACTCCCCCATATGCCGGTACAACGGCCTCAAAAAGAGCTTCTTGCCCCTCTGGTCGTACCGCGGTGCGTCGAACTGGGCCACGCCGTCAGCAAGGGGGTTGTCGGGGTGCCGGTCTGTTGCGAAGATGCTGGCCTTGGCCTTGTTGTCGTCGAGCTGGCGACAGGAGCTGAAGCCGGCCTTGTCGTGTATGTCGGTGATACGCACATCCACCCGTGTGTCTTCATCGCGGCGACGGCGGGACCGCTCCACGTCGACCATCACCACAGCAGACGGGGATGAACCTGCGACCACGCACCCACATACACACAGACACACACGAGACACATAGAGCTGCATCGAATGCGAGAACTCTCTCCTCACCATGTCCAAAAGTCCACGAGGCGGTGTCGTGCCACCACGCCAGCTCGGTGACGCCGGAGAGGTCGTCCAGGTGCTCTGTCAGCTGCTGCACGGGGCCAGGTGTGCTGTAGGGTGGGCTGATGCACAGCTTGATGTGTGTCTTGGTCGAGCTGTCGCACGAGGGGTCGCGTCGGGCGATGCTGGCGCGGTAGGTCTTGGTCACCTTCCTGGGGTGCGATGGGCCATGGTAGGCACTCCCCCCCACTCCTGAGCCGGTCTGCGGGAGGATCCAGGCATCCCACGGCCCCGCAGCCGCCAGCCAAAAGTACCAGGATGGCTGTGGACCCGCCACACGCAGATGCTGTCGCGTGATCATCACGGGCAGCGTGACGTCACCGGCGTGCTGTAGCACCGACAGGAGGTGGGCGTACGGCTGCCAGAGGCTCTCGCCGTGGGGTGCGATGGCGTAGAGGACGGCCCGGATGTTGGCGTCCGTCAGGCCAGCTATGTCGTACTGCACGGGCAGATGAGTGGGATGCCTGGCGCGGAGCTGCTGCACCATGCTGCAGCAACAAAGACAGGCAGCCGGGAAGATGATGCACGGTGAGACTCAGTGTTGTTCCCTCTTTCCTCGTGGCGTCCGTACCATGGTCTGTCCATGATTTTGGAGCAGTATGGCGCGTTGCATGACCTCAGTGCTGCGATGCTGATGACGGGCAGGAAGCGCAGCACGACATACTTGACGCCTCCGCTGCCCTCCTCAAGCAACGCCGAAAGCGACACAGACGCACCTGCACCAATTAAGTCATGACAGACAACGCCCATGGATGGATGGATGGATGGATTGCCTTCCTTTGCAACAAAGGCGTTCGGCTCTCACCTGCAATGGTGGTCTTGATGAAAGTGCTAGAATTGCCCTGCATCTCCCCCTCTGGAGGTCTGAGGACGTCTACGGCATCGGAATAGTACCAAAGAGACTGATCTGCGTAAGAGGCCCGCCCCTGTTGTACACCTCTCCCATGATCAGCTGCCGACTCCGCTGCCGTGGCGGGGCTGGCTGCTGGGACGGCTCTCACCTCATCAAGGGCGAAAGACAGTGCCGCGTTGAAGAGCGACGGCTTGCGGCTTGGCTTGCGGCCGTCCCCCACCGCTTTACTGACCTGCTCACGCACTCTCTCTCCGGCTACTAGTTGACCCCATCCGTCAATGATGGAATGCATACTTTGATTACAACACTGAAATTAATGGACCGGGAAACGAACCTCGCCGGAGTCCGTGATACTCATACAAATACAGTCCCATCAGCACGCAGAGTCAAACAGGCTCAAGGGGAGGAGGGATCAATCCCCGCCCCATCAGCACACCCCAGTCCCGCAAACCCTCC